TCTTCTCTTGCGGAATGTATCTCATTGCATTATCTGTAATGGAGGCAGTAAGATATAACTTTAGAGATCTAATCACGCCTTTATTACTAAAGAAAAATTGCTAGCAAAATCCGAAGAAATCGTTGAATAGTTTGATTGGAAACTGTTTCCCAAAAATTAAGGCTGTGGTTATAACATTGTCAAGACACTTAATAATGCTGTTATTATATATAATGATAGTCAAGGTAGGCGGTTAGATACTATGAATGCACCTGGATACTGATTTGATGGTAATGCAGTCACATTTGCAACAAACACTCATCAATCAGCATCGGGTTCAGTCAGCCGAAATAAAGGCAGAGATGTCAACTTTAAAGTTTCGCAGGGTAGTACAACGAGCCAAGTTAGCTGTAGTAATAGCAGTTGAAGAAAACGAAGAAATGGTGAGTACAGAACAAACAATGTTAATGTATTTTTAAGACAAAATATATTGTATTTTATTAAACTCTAAAATCATTTTTCTCAAAACAGTGATTTTCATACTTGCCCGTAATTTTTAAAAAGTTCTATTGTATATACAGTCAAAAGTCGTTAATCCGGACTCGTCGGGACTCCGGCGATTCCGGATTATCGATCATCAGTTTAAATCTGGTAAGATGGCATGCAGAAATTACAAAATTAAAAATATGAAACCGTAATTTATGAAATAAAGAACAATTATGATCTAAAGGGTATCAAAATTTACAAAAAAAAAAAAAAAAAAAAAAAGAGCAGCTTAATATTTATTTGTTTACTTTATTAAACATTTCCTTCAATGTAAGTTGCTTCGTTTCATGTGATAATACTTTCTCTTTAATTCTATTAAACAGACATAATTCTCTGTTTAGTTACAAAGTTCCGCTGTTCAAGTCCTATAATTGCTGTGTTGAGAATACCGACTAATTTGTCAATCGAAATGTTTTCGTTTTCAATAACCTCTGGGTCACTTTCTTCACTATCGGAAGCGAATTATAATGACGAGGAACTTGATTTAAATCATATCAAAGACAGAATGAAATACTACACTTAGTATGGAATTATAAACCAAATAAAATAAAAACATCTGCCCTGAAGATAAGGATAGTGTTGACAGATCAACTCCCAATCCGCCGCGTGAAATTGATAAACAGATTTCGGATCTCAAAACATACTTTCGCTTTGTAGATACAAATTACATATTAGTAAATATATATCGGAAATTCTATTTGACATAATCTTTCTAATCTATCATAATCTAATAATGACGTTTCTGCCCCCCCCTCTGCCGCAGAGCAGCGTGAAAATTGATAACAGATTTCGGATTTCAAAAACATACTTTCGCTTTGTAGTAAATATATATCGGAAATTCTATTTGACATAATCGAACGTTCAAGCTTACTTTTATAAAATTGCTCTACAGTCTGCAAAAAATAATAAGCCGGATCCAATTCGAAGATTAAGGAACAACGCAATCGGCAACATTAACTGAATTAGATAACTTTAGCTTAGCGTATAACTCCGTTACAATTTAAACGCGCATGCGCACAAACATATTCGCAGCCGTAAGGGTCTTACGCGCTCTCGTAAACGCCTGTGCGCATGCGTGAACGCGACGCATGCGCAGAAAGTTTGTAGCTTTGAGGTCCGGATTATAGATCATTCCGGATTATGGGTGTCCGAATTAACGACTTTTGACTGTACTGGTTTTAAAATTTCAGGGATAGTACATGATCATGTCGCTAAAAAAAAACGCAGCTGCTTGTTTCCTGGAAATTTGTTTTTAAATTATAACATTTGACATGAAGTTTTTTATATGCTTTTTATGAGTTTTAAAATTTTTATTATCATGATGTTAACAGATTTTGTTGTTTTAAAATTTAATTAGATGAAGAGGAATAGCTAAAGTCTTTTCACCACACAAATATAAAATTATTATTGTAACTAAATTAGAGTAAATGTACATTCGGTAGAAATTTAAAGTTTTTAGAAAATACCTTTGGTTTTACTTTCGTAAAACAAGTTCCTCTTTAATAGTAGTAAAATAAATTGAAAAGCATAAGCAACTATATTTAGAGATGTGAAGATGTCGTGTATATTTCACTATAAAAATGTCACTTATTAGACCTCGAAAATCATCCAAATTTCTCACTTTCAATACTGAGTAAGTCTGACGACTTCCCTTAAATAAGAATGAATCTTAACATTTTCAAAGCCGATTTTTACGTATCGTTATCTTCCTACATGGGAATGGGAAATATGCTAATGCCAGAGGGTTATGAACACTGCATCGCTACGCAAACAATCGCTAGGGAAGGGGGAACTTTTATGTGAAAAACTCTGAAATTCTATAAAATTCAGTAATAGCTCAAAGCGTATCACCATTAGCTTCTTAAATGCTTTAGAAACTTTCTTCAAAAAAGTGTTTTATGTATACTGCTTCGGGAAAAAATTAAAAAAGCTTTCCTAAAGAAGCTGTTAGGGAATTTTCAGCCTTTCGAAATGAGAAAGCTTTAGAACACATTTTAACTTTACAAAAAGATAAAATAATCATAATCAACAAGATTTTGCCAATACAATATATTAGTTCACTATAATGATAAATATTTTTGCTTAGTTCCTAGACTGTTATTAAATCAGAAGTATTATAAAATGTATACGTCTCTTTAAATAATGCAAAGAATTATACTTTTTAAAGATTTAAAAAAAATTTTGAAAGCTTTCAAATTTTATATCTTATATATATTTATTTGAAGATCCTGGAAAAGAGGTAAGATCGTGCATTGATTACCGTCGCTTGAACAAGGCAATTAGGACACAATATTTTGCCTTGCCAAACATATAACATTTAGTGGAAAAAGTATCATCTTCCAGATATATAACTGTTCTAGATCTTACTCGAGGTTACTGGCAGATCCCACTAACTAAAAGAGCCCAGCGTTACGCTGCTTTTGTGAGAAGTTTTGGAACATTTAAACCCTTAAGGTTAACTTTCGGGCTAAAAAATGCACCATATGATTTTAGCCGTTTGATGGCAAGATTATTAAGAAACTGTGAAGAATTTACTGTACCCCATATTGACAAAGTTGCAGTATTCTCACAAACCTGGAAAGAACATTTGAAGCACTTAGAAATTATTTCAGAGAAGATGAAAATTGCTAAACTGCATATTAAGGCTACGAAATGTCAGTTTGCTCATACGACTATCAAATATCTGGGTCATGTAGCAGGACAAGGTCAAAGAAGACTAGCAGAAATAAAAATCCAAGCCATAAAGGACTTCTCTAAACTTCCCACGAAAACACAAGCCCGGTCATTTTTAGCACTTGCGGGGTATTACCCGAAGGTATATTTCAGAATTTTCCAGTGATTTCTGCACCACTGGCAGATTTGTTAAAAGAAAAATGTTGTAAATCAACCATAAATTGGACTGATGACTGCCAAAACGCTTTTGATGAACTCAAGAAACGGTTAACACAAAATCCAGTCTTATACATTTCGAACAAGTCATTTATTGTTCAGAGCGAGGCTTCGAATATTGGTATTGGCGTTGCATTATCACAGATAAATGCTAAAAGCAAAGAACATCCAATAATATTTCTTAGCAAAAAGTTTTCACGTACTGAACAGAACACAGTACAATCGAAAGGTAGTGTTCTGCCATTGTCTTTATAAAAGTTAAAATTTTACCTAGATGGACCTCATAAGTTCATTCAGACTGATCATAATCTAATCCTCTATTATGTGGTTGGATAAAAACACTGGGACTGATCCTACACTATTTACAATGGGCTTTGATCTTACAACCTTTTAAGTATGAAGTTACGCATAAAAAGGGAAGGCACCATCAAAATGCTGAGAGTTTAAGTCGTTGTATCGAAAGATCTCACAATTAAAAATATATATTCTAGGAAGTTTAAAACTTCATTATTTAAATTTTTCTAGTATTAGAATGTTAAATTTTATATGTTTATTTTAAATGCTTCTTTGAAAGCACTTGTACTCATTTGGTCAGGTATCTAATTTTATTTGTTACAGATATGTTTGAATATCTTTGTCTTGTAAAAAAAAATGAATGTATTTAAACTGAAAATTTTTCTTGAAAGTTCCATCATATTGAAAGAAATTTTTTTTCGAAAAGTACCCCGTGAGGGAAGGAATTTAAGACTGTAACGTATTTGCGTAGCTACGCTACCAACATAATTCTTCTAAGAAATGTAAAGAAACCGCGCCAAAGAATATCCGTGCAGACGATGCACGCGCTTAAAAATGTTTTTCAATTATTCGGTATGTTTTGACTAATAAAGTTGGTTGTTCGTTCAAAAATGGCGAAATTTCTTTAAAACGTCATTAGTGTATACGAACTAGGTTTCCTTGGAAAGTCCGCCACGAAGGCATCCCTTCCCTCAGTTAGATAGCCCTAGTATACTTCGCCAAAGTCAACTAAACCAAACCATCTCACCCAAAAGGTATAAAGGTCAAAGGAAATATACTTTTTTTTTTAGATTTTGAGGTGACAGTGCATATTGATTGCTACATCACTACATTACTACATTACTCTACATCACTTTGTCTCTTTATTATGTTATATCAGCATTATTCTCTCTTATAGCAACATTTTTCAAGTAGTTGTTATATCAATATTGTTAGAACGCTTACGAACAACACTCGACGTACAAAATATATCACTAAAATCATCTCCCTTACTCCAGTTTAATTTTTTTTTAATTGCAAAGGCACTTGATTATGTATCATTGGCCCCCATGCATCCAAGCTGCATGAGATTAGAACATAAAAAAAATAGAAACACAAAAAGACAAAACAGTAATTAACCTCACTACAATAACAATAACTATATCAAGATTGAGAAATGGAATAACAAATGACTACATTAAGCATTAATAATAACTCCAGTCTACAATAAACTCATAAAAGTATCAGATCAAAAATATACTGTATATACTCCCTCTTATAGATTTATACTTATATATGTGACATGTACACACCTTGATGAGCTTCTCCTAGATACTGCAACAAGGCCTTTTGATTATCTGACCAGAACTTTGGAAGGAGATGGTACTTAGGGTATTTACAACATGATATCTCTAAAGTTATTTCCATGCATCCGGCCCATACATAGTTATAATCTTGCATTCCTCCTAAAAAGAAAAAAAAAAAAGAATGTATAGAAATATTTATTAGCACGAAAAAGTTCTAACGCATACACATATGCAAATGAAATTGCATATATATTTCGCTTCTAATTTTATGGCAATTACCAAAATCTCCCTATGCATCATTGACTTGTTACACATGTTGAATTTCAAAGACGCACACTGGGAAATAAACCCGTTTACCGTCTTTCTTCAATGTTATTGTTTCATACTAGCTCCTTACCATCTTTTCTCACAGAATGTGACTATTCCATTCCTTTGGGCCCCTTATAAAACTGTTTCTTTCCAATATGTTGTCTATTTTTCTATTTCGTTTGCAGTACAGACTATTAGCATTTTATGTTTACATCCAAAAAAGTTTTACCATATTACAATGAAATAAGATAAAATATACAATGCTATAACGGGCTGAATGTAAGAATCTAATTTACGTAAACTCACTTCTAGAATTTTATGCGCCTGCGGAGGCATCAGTTTACGGGTTAATCAGGCAGCTTTGACGATGTTTGACTATCACGCTAGAACTAATAAATCGTTAAGAAATAATTCAAATTAAAAATACCGGTATTATCTAAAAATTAATTAAAATATCAGCATCGAATGACGAGAATGGTATATCTATTAAGAGTTTATGTCTTCGAATCTATATAAAATAATGAATATATTTCCAGGTCATCCAAATTAATTATTTTAAGTATGAACTAGCGGGCTACAGCCAAATTAATATTTACATATTACGGCCAAAGCAATATTTCAGTTCTATGCACTGAAAAACTGAAAATAAAATGAACTATTAATTTAATGTACTGCATACAAAGTTGCTAGCTGCGACCAAAGCTGAGGCAGCGGACGTGCTCGCCAAAGAGGCGGCCTCAAACATCAACGCACGTCCCATCGCTGTTCCGGCGCCATCTTCCCATCTTAAAAGACTGCTGAAAGGCGCAGCAGTCCAGTGGTGGCAAAAAGTATAAGAACATGGAAACACAGGAAGAGTGTATGGCTTTCTACCGATGGTGACAACGGAGAGAGACTCATAGCAAACGCTCCACTTACTAACTTTGTAACTGGGCACGGTCCCTTCCCGGACTACTTCAACAGACGCACTATTTCTAATACACGGATCGCTGTGTATGCGGGGAAGAGGGGAGGGGACACCCGATCACTATATCTTCCGGTGCCCACTCACAGAACAGCACCATTTCCCGGAACCCACGAACATACCTGCCTTCCACAAGTTTATCCTTAAAAATAAAGCGGCAATCAACACAGTGTGCAAAATCGTTAACACCATTAAGGCCTACGGCCAAGACCTTTGCCTCCCATTATAAAACAGTGCTATTCATAATGGTCTCAGTGACTGCATTCTGCCTTAACAAACTGTGCAACAATACATACTGCATGCTGTATACCGCTAGTGTTTCACTTGTGGGTATTGCGTACATTCTGCGCAATGTGCCTAGTACTGCCACTGTAAAGTACTTTCCCTGAAACTATACTGAACTGCCACTATAACTGTGCACCTTATATGTTTTATGCTGTTTAATGTCGTATTGTGTATACTTTGTATCATTGTACTGTTATGTTTTGTATATTTTGTGTCGAACTGTGTTTTCTCTATGTATATTTATTTGTCATGTATTTCAAATGTGTGTGCTTAATTATGTATCATATTAATGTGTAATGTGTATTGTAATAATATGTATATAATGTGTAATGTATGTAGTAATTATGTATCATATTGATGTATAAGTAGTATTTATGTGCAAGCAGTAAACCAAGTGTAAGCAGTAATTTGAGTAATAATATGTAATGTAATGATATATTTAAGTATATTAATGTGTAAGGTAATGGGTATATGTAATTATGTATCATATTAATACGTAAGCAGTATTGTCTGTACAAAGCAGCAATCGTGTGTAAGCAGGAATATGTGCGAGCAGTAACTTAGGTGCAATCAGTAATTTAATGAGTATTTATGTGTCATACTAATGTGTAAGGAGTAATTTCAATGAGTATATGTATCAACAGTAACTTATGCGTAAGCAGGAACTTAATCATCAGTAGGCAGCAATTGTGTATGTAGTAATTTACGTAATGTGTAAGCAACTGATTTCATGTATGTAATCTTATACATGCATAATTTATGCATAAGCTGTAACAAGGTGCAAAGCAGTAACTTATGCGTAAGGCAGTAATGTATCATATTAATGTGTAAGCAGTACTTTGTATTATATAATGTGTTATCATGTATCATATTAAGGTGTAATGTAATGAGTATATGTAATTATGTATCATTTAAAGTGTAAGTAGCATTCTATGTGCAAGCAATGTGTAAACATTAATTTAGGCGTAATAATGTGTAATGTAATGCATATATTTATGTGTATATGTAAGAATATTAATGCGTAAGGTAATGTGTATATGTAATTATGTATCATATTAATATGTAAGTAGTATCTTCTGTGCAAGCAGCAAATCATGTGTAAGCAGGAATATATGTGAGTAACTTAGGTGCAAGAAGTAATTTATGTGTAAGCATGTGTAATAATTAATGAGTATCTATGTATCATAATGTGCAAGCAGTATTTCATATGTAAGCAGTAACTTATGTGTAAGGAGTAATTTATGAGTATTTATGTATCATACTAGTCCGTAAAGCAGTAACTTATGTGTAAGCAGGAACTTATGTATCATCAGTAGGCAGCTATTCATGAGTACGTAGTAATTTATGTACAATGCAACAGAATATGTATGTAATGCAATGGTATAATGCAACTATGTACAATGCAACTATGTAATATAATCCTTGACTGAAACAGCATGCTGTTTCATACTCCGCACTGAAAAACCAAATACGTGTAAACTGTGATCCGAATGTTGCCATATGTACAATGCTATATGGTAATAACATATTAATGTGTAACCAGAATTTTAAGTGTAAGCAGTAACTTATATAAATAGTAATTTATGTGTCATCAGCAGGCAGTAAACTTATGTGTAAAGTAGCAGTTAGAATAGTGCAACAGTATATGTGTGTAACGCAACGGTGCATTGCAACTATGTAGTATATTCTTTAACTGAAACAGCATTTTGTTTCATACTCCGCACTGAATAACCCAATATGAGTGAACTGCGATCTGAATGTTGCCATATGTACAATGTATTATGCAATTGTGTATCATATTAATGTGTAAGCAGTATTTGTATCATAATAATGTGTAATTATGTATCAAATTAACGTGTAATGTAGCATGTATATGTAACTGAGCATCATATTAATGCACCATATTAATGTAATCATATTAATGTAATCATATTAATGTAAGCAGTATTTCATGTGCAAGCAGTAATTTATGTGCAAGCAGTAACTTATGTGTATGCCATAATTTACGAATAAGCAGAATTTATATGTTATCAGTAGGCAGTAATTTATGAGTAAGTAGTAATTTATGTTGAAGTATGCGATAAACTTCCAGTGCGCCCTTATGGGGCCACAGGGAGTTGTTGCGTCTGGATAGGGGAGGGCGTGGGACATATGCCTGTTTACCTCTGTTAGACGCCAGGCGTCCCCGTCCTCCGTCACCTGTCACCTGCGACCAAAGCAAAATTTATGAGTTCTATGCATACCTGAAAATTAAATGCATAAAAGCATTTCAGTATAAATAAAGTCAATTCATTGTTTCCAAGCAACAACCAATTCGTAAATATTATTTGTTGCCAAACCAAGAAACAGAAACTTTGGACACTTTGGGTTAATACGTATACGTATGATGTCACGATTTAAATGTAATATACATAACAACTTTTTCTCAATATCAATAAAAGACTTATCGTGGCAATAACATACTGTGTCGATTATCACAACCTGAAACAAAAAGTTGCTAAGAGCAGCTATTTAATTAAAATGCTGACATAAACGACAAATTTTCGACATACAATGATGTCACATGAAATCGCGCGCTTTCTTCAACGTCAGAACATGACTTTATATAATAATAATAGATTTAATGATTGACAATATTACTTTTATCTCATATTTTGTAAAATTTGCAAATTTTTTAATGACAAACTCTACGATTTGAAAGCGAGCACACGACAACACTTTTCAAAATAAAGCAGGTTTTTATCACCAGCGTGCCAGACTGTTGCCACTAAAAAAAATGAAAGCGCAAATTAGCGTTTTCAGAGTTTTAAATTAATATGTCAACTAATTAAAATCGTACGACGATAGAATGGTCGAAATAGCTTCCTACGAAATTGGAATCCGAGGTACTACTCTCGAAACTCAACACACTGCAGTTGCAGAGGAGATACTCGTAATGCCGTAAACAAACAAACAGATTTTAAAAGTAAGTACAGCAGAAGATTATTACGTAAAGCGAACTCTTTCGCATGCGATATTTTAAAACTTATTTTATTACCTACAGAGGCTGTTCGTACATTTTTTAGACGATTTTGGTAAGCGTAACAAAAAATCGTTTGCTGCAAAAGAAGTAATTGCAATTGTACCATGTTTTTAAAAGTCAAAATTATCGTTTAAGGCTTGAAAGTTTTGTTTTTATTCAAAATGGCGAATTTAACAAAGAAGTGGTTCGAAGGCTACATTGACGCTCTTTCCGAAGAGAAATATGCTACTCCGTTATCCAAAACGAGTGGAGTCATGGTTTTTGTGATATCTAAACGTCGATAGGTAATATCATCAACAAGAAAGGAAAAAACGTCAAATGGAGCCTCAAGTGGGACAAAAATTCCAAACAGTATCCAAGGAAAAAACGGACATGTTCGACTATTGCAAAATGTATGTTGTTAATGTTAAAACGAAACCCCCTAATCAAAGGGACAGTTGCAAAATATTAAAAATGCTCGATGTCCCTGTAACAAAATGGTTGATTAAATCTTAAGAAAGCGAAAAAACGCAATGTCACTCTTCTTCCAAAGCATATCTTAAACGCAGACACGCTGCAGAATTCTATATGAGAAAACACTTATCCAAAGAAAAATGGAAAACAATTGTCACAATCGATGAGGCATGGTGTATTTAAATGATTGTAACAAAAAAAAGAGCATTTATTATCATAAAGGGGAGGACAAAAAATTTTAAGAACATGGTTCAAAGGAATCGAAAGAAAGTTTTTTAAGGGATTCATGATGTTGCTGTGTTTCCTTATAATGGCAAGTTTAAAAAATAAAGAGAGTGCAAGAAAATGTCAAGATTAACTCCAAATACTATCGGGAACATATTTATCGCCAATTTTCTGAATGAAAATACCATCGCTTTACCCAACAGTGCATCAATCTGTGAGACTCCATCAGGACAAAGCTGGCAGTCACACATCAAAATCCACTGTAAATTTCCTAAAAGAAATGGAACAAAAAACTGTATCAGGCTACCCTTCACTGATATCCCTACTAAATCTCCCGAGTGTCAACTATGGAATTTTTGCTTTAGCTTTTAAAAAGTGCAATCCAAACGTTGTCCCAAACCCACATGACTCTTGGAAGCTGTTCGGGAGGAATAATGAGAACCTTGCCACTTCAAAAGCAATTATTAAATGGGTTTGGTGTCGAAAAGATAGTTCAGAATAAGGGATGTCAAATAGAACATTTAAAACTCAAGATTTTTATGTAATTTAGTTTTGTGAATACAATATACATCGTCTAAAAAATGTGTGAACAGCCTCTGTATAAATCCTTAGAAATAAACTATCAGAATTTGAAACTTGCCTTTCAAAGCATACCATGCAGCGCCATTCGTGGTACCATTAGCAAATGGTGGGCTGCCATCTCTGCAGGCGGTTCCGATATACATATTTTTGTGGTTGAAGGAGTATGTTTGAGCCAAGTGCCGGAATACGTCATCATCTGGAGTCACAGATGGACTTCCAATACTTCGGAAACCTGAAATAAAACACATTTACTTCAAGCAAAATGACGTTCTATTAAATCTACTTATAATTAGTTTATATTTATAAATACACATATAAAATTAAATTTGAGTTTGAGAATTTCGGTCATTTATTTTAACAAAGATTGTAAATGTTTTGCTGCTGCTAACCGTAACTAGGGAAAATCTAATATTGTAACTCAATAAATCTAAATTTCGAAGGAATTTGATATCAGGGTATTTCTGAATGAAATAAATTTATTCATTTTTGCGCAGATATATGAAAGATAAATTCATTGCAAAAAAAGATATATCATTTCAATTTATGAAAGAATTTGTTAACTCCGCATGTAAAGGAATGTATAGAAGAAATAGTAGCAGTATTAAAAGTCTACGTTTAAAATACATATATTACATCTTAAATTTAAATTCAGTTACACGTTTTTCTCATTTAACATATTTATTGTAAGCAGTCTTTTGAAAGAATTATAAACGGCTCTTTCCTGTAAGTATCAAAATTTCAGTCTTGAACTTTTCATTAAATCATACGAAGCAAAGAACTTGAGCCAGCTTACTGCAAAACAAAATGTTTCATGCGGTTTACAAAACCTATGTTAAGCAAAAATCCATCCAATTAAAAAAGAAACCTCTCTTACGTGGAAAAAAATGGAGAGAACAGATATATAATACATTTTTCAAGGAAATCTCCAACTGATTTTATCAATATTCATGCGATGGCATTGAACATTCTGAAGCGCTGGGATTATGGTGCTAGATTTTTATGGCATTTTTCAGATTCTTCAAATTATTGAAATAGTTTGTAAAGCTTATTCTTTTTCAGTGTGTGTAACTTCAAAGCTCCTTTTCTGAAAGAAATCCGTTTTGCGATTCTTTGCTATAGGATGTGCTCCAGTAATTTTTTTTAACTGCTATTGCTCTATACGTTCTATAGAAAGTAAATTTTTACACTTATATAATGCCTTAAGTTGGTATAGTGGTTGTCGCTGCTCGCTACCATATATCTGGGCCCGAATCGCGGAGAAGACTTACATTTTTGTATGTATACAGTATCTGTGTGGCATGGGAGCAATTAAAATACTGGCAAGTCATAAGTCCCCTTGAGTGCTTTAGTGGTAGCGAAAGAAGAATTAAAACTCTCAGATCCTTTCCCCAAGATGTTCTCTATTAAAATTAAGACGGAACTTCCCTGTTCATACCGACATAAAATCGAGAGCCTTAGGCAAATCTCAGGTAAGCTCTCGATAATGAGACGGCTAATAACTTACGATACTGCCCATCCTGACCAATGTTTCAGATTGCAGGTGTTTGGTTATTTGAAACACCGCCACTTATATAAAGACACATACACATGGTATTCGATATATCAGCTACTTCCATCCTTTGGGGACCCTTTTACCCTTTTTACCCTTTTTTCCCCATCCTTATGCACATTTTAAGCAGCCGTCTTAGATACTTATAACTACTATAGCGTATATTCAAATTTCGTTACTAGGGATTTTTGAGCCTAACTTATCATTGCATATTCCATCGAAGCATGAGAAGCATACCATTAATTTTACATATATAGATGGAGAAGATTTCGAATTAGTTTCTGATGTTCTGCATTTCTTTAACTTTTCTTAGAAAATTACTAAAACGTCTGCTATTTTCAAAATTTTTTACGTTCTTTTTCGCAGCAGTCTGAGAATGCGAAACCGGTTAGGTGTTTGCACATTTTTTAGAACGATTTCAAGGCCATTTAATTGATGTTTAAAATGTAAAGAGCATATATTTTTTTAATGTTCGACCTCATAGGCTTCTTTTATATGTATGCATCGTGATTTCCATTATAAAAGGGGTTTTCGTAAAATTTCCAAAGATATTGTGTGTGTATATATATTCCTCTTTCACTAGTTTCCACTCCATTTATCATGGTGGGTTTGCGCTTAAAAAGAGCTCTTTGGAAGAGACCAAAAACGCAATAGTTCATAAGTGAAACGCCAGGAATCTTCGCCGGAATACTTTGAAAAGGCATATTTGTGCAACCCCTGCATCAGTCTTCATTTTCGAAAGAATGCAATGGTACTTTTTGAAATATGACTTGCTGCTTTGTCTTAAATTTCACTCTTTGAAAGTCACTGGGATAGAAAAGAGGAATTTCTTCCGTAAATATTGGGCGTAAAACTTTCTGTTGATAGCGCGTTAAGTTGATTTTGACACTTTTTCCACTTCTGTAAGAGAACTCTGCTATAGTCATAAATTTCTTACTGTAACTTTCTTTGCATTTACTAAGCAAGTTTGTACACTTTTTCTTCCTCTTCATTTTCGATAATTAAATAGATCTTTTTTTTTATTACTGTCACTTAAATAAACCCATGCTTTATCAAGGGTCACAATGTATTTCTATTTATCTCCTGCTAAATAGTTTCTATACAAATTGTTGTGCGTTAAGCCACATGCCTCGGCAAAAGCTGAATAACATAGTATTTTTAAATCTTTTTTAGGTTGTAAATCTTGGTTTATTATTTTATTTATTGTTGCTACAGATATATTTGAAGACTTTGCAACTGACTGGATGTTTTCTTGTTACCAACGTTTAAACTTTTAGAAACAGTTTACGGTATTATTTTGGAGTCTTGTTTCCGTGTAAAAGAATGATTGATAGTGTTTCCCTTTCCAATTAATAATGCTTATTTTGCAGTTAGAAATTTTAATATTATGCATTTTAGATCGTTTTTAAATTATGGGACAAGAATATTTTTTTCTTCGAAAAGCGCAAAAACATATCCTTCAGTCCACATAATATTTACATATTTCGCATTTCAAATAATAAGCTGTTACCAGAAATTTGAACCGCAAAGCATTTTTTAAAATTATTTATCGAAATCTGTCTAAAAATAGGTAAACAACCTCTTTAATGCTTTGTGCATACTCATAGAGAACTTGCGGAGAATTTGCGATGTTATACTATTACTGAAATGTTATACAGTACAAAGTCCGAAATCCGGACGTCCATTGTCCGGAATGATCTAAAATCTGGACTTCAAAACCACCAACAACGTTTTCTCGTAGGCTTTGCGTATGCGCATTTGATTCCCCCCCCCTCCGCGCATAATAAAACATCTGGAGAGTCCCGATTCTTAATTTCACTTCGACACTAAATAAAATACCTTGTTATTGAAGAAACAATCATTTTAGCATAAATTTGTACGATCAGTAATTTGGCTGCGTTGCTGCGTATCTGCCTGGCACACATCTCAAACCGAAACCTGGCACACATCTCAAATAAAGGAGTATGGTAACCTCTTATGTTGACACTACGCTTGGCGATAATTACAGATTTAAGTTAAATGCGCTAAAGAGTGTTGACGAGGAAAAATTTACCAAAAATTTCTTTCCATATGCTGAAAATAGATTTTTTTGATGATACTCATAGACCCAAAGATTATATTTAGGGCTATTTAAATTAAGAATAAGTGATTTGGTATTGACATAAACTCAGAACCAGCGCCAGGGATCGTATGGACGCAACGGGTCGCAGAATTTAGGACCCACAGAAACTGCATCAGGCGTAGCGCCGGCCTTCACTAAGGCTTAAGTATATGTGAGAATTTATTTATTCAGAACTCTGATAAGCCTGTGCAAGAAATAGAATAAGTATAATAAATAACTAATACAATTCAGGCTTAAATTGTCTCAGTGCGCGATGGAAGCAAGATAAAATTTAACGGAACAACTTGTCGTTAGTCGCCAAGCTCATGATGCATAAGCAAATATGTATAGTATATGACAGATAAATTTGATGATGATAGCCGCTAATTTTAAAGGTTTTCGGATATCGCAAAAAAAAAGCTGAAATTTTCCAATTAACGGATTTTGTAAAGAAATGTGGAGAAGCGTTAATAAATGAAGATGATATAAAAGAAGTTTTTCATTGTGAGACAATACTTCTCAATCATCAATCAATTAATGAATGGTGAAATCTGTAGTATAATCCTAGATCCAGAAAATACCGCTACCGATAGTGTAAACAGAGACGAGATAACAGAGAAGTTACTGAAAACGAGAAAATTTCGATTGACAAGTTAGTCGGAATTCTCGAAACAGCAGTTACAGGACTTCAACAATGTAACTAAACAAGAGATTATGTCTGTCTGTAGAATTAAAGAGAAAGTATTAGCACAAAAAACGAAACAACTTACATTGAAAGAAATGTTTGATAAGGTAAACAAATAAATATTAAGCTTTTTATGTAAATTTTGATACCCTTTAGATCATAAATATTTCATTATTTCATAAATCACGATTTCATATTTTTAATTTTATAAGTTCTACATGCCATCTTACTAGATTTAAACTGATGATCTAATATTCGGAAAAATCCCGAATCCGGAATCACCGAAGTCCCGACGAGTCCGGATGTCGGACTTTGTACCGTACTATAAACCTGAAAAATAGCACTAAGGGCGCGTCAGTGAACTTCTTATTAAAAAATCTGATGTGTACACCACATGACTTCTTTGTACGGAATATTAAATTATACGCATTTTTTCTAGCATTTCATTTAAACTTATTGGATTGAATTAAATCTACTTCGCCGACAGCACATAAACCACAATAGAATAAATGCATTCTTTAAAATTCACTCTATTTGTTTACCATAGTGACACTCTGGCGTTAGGTTCACTTAACAGTATTATATTTCGTTCATATCATAACTCATAATGCCCAAAATTTGTATCATTTAAAGAATTATCTAATCGTTGCCACATGTTCTATTCAAGTACTATAATAAAGCTAGAACGATGTATAAAGAAATTAAGCAAACAAAACAAAAAAAAAAAACAGTTTTTCACAGACGATTGAGTATTTCTCATTCAATTAATTCAGTTCTCACTTCGCGACAAGGCAAAAATACATAAAAACTCAAAATATCTGTACTAAAAATTACTAATTATTAAAAATTAAGCAAATCTTAAACACTTCTTTCCTCGAAAAAATTCCAGAAAGGATTAGGCATTATTTAAATCGCAATAATAAATGAAGGCGTTTATCTTTGTTGTTGCGAAGCTACGTTTCGCTAGATTGGCAACAAATTCACTACTCAGCTGTTTCAAATGTAAACAAGCAATGGCCGCCATCAAAATAGGCTTAGCGGCACTTAAACAACTTTTAAATTGTTGATAATTCTAAAAATATTGCATACAGATTTACTAAAGGCATAAAAACCCTTAACCGGAAGATAAAAACAACATAATTCAATCATTTTTAAAGAAAAAAATGTACAATTTACAAAACATATAAGAGTAAAGAAAATGAGATCACTGAGCCGGGTAACAGAGTGGATATATTTATAAATATATTATATACGTTTGGCGCGGCCGATTGAAAACCAAAATACGAGGTGCACATCTACATGTTATAGTAGTCCTATATACAAAATTTCAACTTTCTGAGGCTACTCGTTTTTGAGTTATGCGAGATACGTACATACGTGCGTACGTACGTTCGTACAGACGACACGAAAAATTCTCTTCAGAATTCATTTTAAAGCAGTTTTTTAGTTTTTTTTTTTTTTAAGGAAAAGTCTTTTATTCTGTCCTTACGTACAGATATCACGCAAAAACATCGTTAAATTGCATTCGAAAGCGATCAAAGTGGATATTTTCGTTGAAATATGCTGCATGAAGCTTTTCGCGATTACAATACTTCCTTTTTACTTCGTACAAGGAAGTAAAAAGAACTTTAATGCATTAGAACTTTCCTTTTTTCAGATTCGATGATGCCAACTTTGTGCTTTTTTTCTGCATACAATTTATGGATTATGAATCATTTAGGGTTATTTTACGACTACTACTATAGAAAATACCATATTCTAGGTTTACTCTTGAAAGATAAACTTACCCTTTGGTGAGTTGGCTGGTATGTTGTCGAAGGGATAGCTAGCAACCAATGCTCCTCCATGCAAATTTCCAGATAAAACAAACTGTGTCCTTTTTAGCCAGTCTATAACTGCAAGGGTCTCAGCTTGGGGAAAATCGTGATTTCCAGCGAAATAGTCCGGAAAATTTCGATTCAGGTCCAGAGAATTTGCATTATTTCTAAAATGAAAAATAAAAATGCTTTGAAACTTATGTTGTTATTCTTGTGACTTATCTCACTTGTCGGATAATATCATGGAATTTTTGTGCCTAGGAGTGCGAGTTTGTGTCTATCGTTAGCGTCGGTCTTAAGCAATTTATACGCAGAATTAAGAATTTGTCCAGCTCCGTCCCAGTTCTGAAAAGGAATCTTTCATGGAACAGATTCCTATGTTTATCTAGCCCTCTTCTTTTACCTCCACATCTCTGAAGAAGACTTTCGGCTAGATAATATACATTTACAAACATCCAAGCCTTTTCTGGCACTCAAAGCGGGGCGCAACGATTCAGTTGTTAGCATCGCTAACAGCTATATCGATCAATGCGGCTTTGAAATTTCTAAATAGTATACAAACTATATAGTAAATTATTTATTTAAATATGTATACAAACAATACGTCAAATTCACAAAGAATTTTAAATGAAAACTGTTTATTTTTAATCGTCAGCCTATTTCTTGCCCATGTGCAGAAATGCCATCCATAAGAGAAACTAACTGTTCCCTTTTCACTCTCTCCCTTTCAGTAACAACTGGCTTAGGTAAATATACGCTTTGGTGCTGTTTATACTGAAAGTTAGTCTGTGTTAAAAATCAGTTACCGTTACTGGCCCCCTCAATGGCGGGCACAAGTTGTCATAGACGTTGGCCACTACTAAGACCGGAAGCGGTAGGTACTTTATTATTGGAAGTACCTAAGGCGGGCCACCGTCGCCTCTTATGAAGAGACAGATTATTTACGTCTACATCTTCTCCGGGATTCGAACCAGGGCCCTGCGATACGGCAGTCAGAGTCACTAATCACTTTCCTATCTGGGCGGTCCGATTGCCCAGTTGCCGTTAATAAACCATGGTAGTTCGATAAAGAACCTAAATGAAACCATGTTAAGGTGATGATGATTAAACTAATTTTAAGCCTTTTACCGCTGAAATTATATTTAGAAATTTTGTAAAAAGTGCTTGTATCATATTGAACCCGTATCAATTTTTTTCCCCTGAAAATATGAACTCGGAATTCTTAAACTTAGCAGATACGAAGAACTAAGAAGGAGTCTGGAAAAGCTAGACGGAGATAAAAGGACTCGTGGTTCCTATCATTTAGTGGCATCTACTGAAAAAAAGGAATCTGAAATGGCGATAATTAATTATACTAATCTTAATCACCTTGCTGTCCATGTGATCATAAGAAACTCAGAGATTTAAAATTATGTAGTAGTAAGGTAGACATGGGTATCTTTCTTTTTTGCGTAGTAACTATAACAAAAGCTAAATTTTTTAATTTCCGCCTTGTAGAAAGAATTAATTATACTACACGATTTACATAAATCTTGATACTGTCTGATCCTCAGGTATCATCACAGAATTAGTATATTAAATTTGCTTGCAAAATTTATTCGGCAGAGTTTCTTCACAGAAATATATAATCAACACGAAAGGGTTGATTATCAATTATTATTGATATTTGGGAAAATCATTTCATTGTCGGATACATAATGAATTATTGTATCCCACAATGAAATAATTTTCAGTGTAAACTGTTTTACAATAGGCGCCGCTGAATATGATCGCGGTTAATGTTATTATTCGGCTATTGCTATCGAATTCCTGAAGTCCCGGCTATTTATATACGAGAACATGAAAAATTAATCTCTTGTTGTGATCAACAAGTCGGTTATCGAATACCATAGAATAAATTTTTCAAAATAAACCAGAGTTGCCATATAAGAGATAAAATCGCCAAATAATGTCGAAATATTGTGCAGAAATTGCTAAATAACAGACACATGTCGTAAAGTAATGAATTAAATCGACAAGCAGCTTGATTTGGATTCATGTTCAAAGGTATCAGTTTAACAAGTTTTAGAAACATCGACGAACCAACCAGCTTAAATGGTATGCTCAGATGACCTTACTTTTTCTTGCTAAAATATCTCTTCACTTGTTTTGAGCTTTATAATTTTATGAATGTTACGCGCTAGGAAAGGTTCATTTTTGTATTTAGTTATATTTTAAGTGTCTAGCGAAATGTGTAATGCTCTGAATCATAGGAAATTAAGAATATTAAAACATAAAGTCGATTTGCTAAACCACTCCTACCAATTCTCGAAAGTTAATCAACGAAAGGCTGCTTTTAAGATAAATTTTTCTCAAATCTTCTTATGCAAGATTCTGAAGAATCGTGAAGATGTTATTTGCAAATTAAAACAAGATCGAAATGTAAACACGAAACGGATGCCTATCGGGAGAAATTACAATGTTGAGAAAACAGTGAAGATTTGGCTTACTAATGTTCATAAGAAAGATGCTGCGCCCAATAGTTGATTTATATGATAGAAATCTCAGGAATTAGTCGTAAAAATTGGAGTAGATGATTTCAGAAGAAGAAGAAAGAGATGTTTCAGAAACATGTTTGTCAAGTGAATGACCTAAATTGTTACGAAGTACTGTCCTTGTCCACATCTTGCCATCATATTAAGGACTTTTCCTAATTAATATGATGTGTAAGTAAGTATCACTTACATGCTTCTAGTTACGTTTATATTAAAGTAGTTTAATTCCACTAATATTTTGAAGGATATTTTTTTCATTGTATACTGTTGTCATTCGGTTAATGTCATCAGAATAATCATGGACAAACATGAACGTATTAAGCAGCACCTACTGCATATTATAAAGATATTTATCCTTGAAACGATTTCATTCCTCTGCTTACCTATAAGGTAAGCAGAGGATATTTCATCCTTGCTCCATATTCAGAAAAATTCTTTATTATTCATATTGAAGAATTATTGTGCGGTTACTTCTTTTTGTTATTTCTGGGATAAATATCTCTTGTTCTTTGTTGCTGTTCTATTCCATCAGAAGCTGCAACTTTTTTCTGCTATTATTGATGTTCAAATATATATGCAGCAAAATAATCTTCTTTTACTTTAGCATTCTTCTTTTTTAGCAACTTTAGTCAAAAACATTGAAGTGTTTAGTAGACTTTTATAAATAAGTTTTCCTACAGGGAACTATACTACTTCCATTTCTCAACGTATTTAGAAACAGAAAAACACAGTTATAAAGAAATTAATAAAATTAGAAAACTTAGCTGAGCCGTATTATAAGAGTTTGTCTCCCACACTTTATCTCATGATGGTGTGTTAGTAGATAAAACTTATCTTAATGTTGTAGGGTTCCTGTGTTTAATCTACAGCTAAAGTTGAGGAACCTTAAGAACAGGTAAGCGAATAATCGCTTAGTTCAGAGAGATAGAAACGCAAACGTACGAAGGGTTAATTACCCTTTATTATTCCAAATAAAATTTAACAGATGACTCCTTTCTTGGGGTTTACAATAAAGTCCCCATTCCACTTGGGAATAAACTAATCTTAATTAAAAAAAATATAGCTGAAGCTATCAAGATTTTAACAGAGTTGGCCCTTTAATGCTAACTAACGGCGAAGCTATCAAGGGCCTAAAGTACGGCCGAGCGTAATAATAGCTTAATAAGAGAGAGAGAGAGTAGCCTAAAAAAGGCGAACGCGCGCTAGTCAGAATCTCTGGCTCTTCACTACAAAGTGCAATTCCGTATTTGGATGCAAATGAGGAAAAGTGTTTAACTGGGAAGTCAGTACAGCTTCCCAGTTAAACACTTTTCCTCATTTGCATCCAAATACGATTCTGGAAATACGTTCTGGCCGGAAGTTGTAAACTGAAATTAAGGAAGATAGGAAAGTAACTTTTAACTAAAATAATTGACTGTTAGAAAAATGAAGATAAACCTTACAATGTAAAATAGGATTATTTGTTCATAAATTAATAATCGACGAACTGGATTTAGAACTAGTTAAAAATAAGTAAAAACATTAACAACATTTGTAATTATCTAGAAGAATGTTTGCTCGATTGCTTACCAAACACAAAAATGTTTTATTCTGTTTATAAATGATCTACATCTGCATAAAGTAATCATACTATGGCAGTTTAACGTAACTGAAACTTTCTAACTGTTTTTTTAACTGCATTATTTCATATACACCTCAAACTGCAACTTTAACTATAAAGAAACTGTATGTATATTTTAGCTGTATCTTTATCAGTAGTATAGTTTGGCTCGTGCTCTCTTGCAAAGCATGTATCCTTCTACTAACTTATTTTTGTTAAATATAAAAGTTGTTAGGTCATTAAGATGATTATTGATCTATTTTATTATACAAATTACTTCTTTTCCAGTTTATCGGACATGTGTTATGACCTAGTACACTATAGTGGTGTACTCGATATAGCACAATATTACAAAATCCTATTAATATTTCAAACGTTAATTTTTGCGTTATTTTTTTCCCATAGAATTGCATCATTTCTCATACGTAAAAGAGATCAGTTACCTCCATTTAATTTTTTTGGGGTTAATTAGTTTTTCAGAGCATTAATAATACTTCTGCATTACAGCCTTCATCATTGTGCTATCCTGCTCAATTTGAAACCATTAATAACATTCCCAAATTTTGGTGTCCGTCATTTCCTTTCTCTGTAGGAAGCTATCATTTCCGCATCATCGAGAAAGGATAAAAGTTAAGATTACATCATTTTTATTTCAATGGTGTCGTTTAACATCAATGCCTAGTAAACAAAGAAAAGATTTTACTTCTCGACAAAGCATAGAAATGAGAAAGTTGAAGTTGACGTCCGACAGATGGCAGTACTACCGATGCAAATTTTAAACTGTCATATGAATTCAGACATGTGTCAAAATTTTTTTGAAAATTCGGCTAATCTTTGGAATATGGTAACAGGTAGTTTGGCGACATTTTGGTAAGGCGATAAAGGTTACTAGCTAGGACTTTAGCAGTGTACATAAATAAAGTCAAGAGTGTGCGCAACGCCATTTTTGTGCAATTCTGGGATATTTTTTTTAAGTGAAAATAGGTCGACGTATACATGGATACCGTGTATGTGCAATTCTTAAAAACGCGGC